GTCCTTGCTAGCAAGAGAAAGTAAACTCTCCCATCTGTTAGCTGTTTTTTTTCCTCTTAAGTTATATGATACTATATTCTACACTCTAAAATTCTTATTATGTATAATTAACCATTATTTTTTATCTATTACTATTCTTACCCCATATCACAAGCACAAAGGAGTTGTGTACGTTGGTGTTTGGGGACGGCAGTGCGGAGCGCTGATCTGTTAACAGCCACCTGTCACAACCTTACACAGTGGTTTGTGGCAGAAAAAGCATGAAAACGGAACGCTGTATAGGTTGTGGACCTATGTTGAGGACATATATCACACTTGTTGATGACCAGGCACCAGCTAAAGAGTAAAAAATACTAAGCATTTACTACTTCAGTATTGTTGTTTGAAGATTTCCATAGCTGGGAATCAGATTTTTCTCAAACTTGGACAAAAAAAATCACTCATTAAACCTGGTATCACCAAATGAGGTTTCTCCCAAACTATGAGTGATTTTTTTTTCCTCTCAGGAAATTCAAGATGCCTATCCATGTTTTGGTGTAAAATACATATCTAGCTTTGAGTTCTAGACTCAAATACCCTTTCTTCCTTACCCTTAGAATAAGAGCTGGTGATTCCCAGGCTAGCCTGACTCACCAGGTGATTTGGTGCCTTTGTCTGCTATTGAGATAATCTCTCAGGAAGTCCATAAATTGGTTCTGCTGATACTGAAAAAAAAAAAAAAAAAAAAAAAAGTCATGCCACACAGTAGGGTCCAAGTCTCTTAAATTTTTACTAGAGGAATTTAAGACTTTCTAAGTGGTTTTAAACAAGGAACACCAATGCCTTCAGGTTCAGGTTTTGCCTATCCTAGAGCTTTGGGTTGTTGCAGATAAAAATTATTTCAGGCACATTTAGTCACTGAGCCTTTCCTTGGCCACACTTGTTCCTTTTCCACACCAGTCACAACCCAACAAGGCACTGGAATTGCGCTGCAGCAGAGCCCTTCAACACACACCAGCACTATGTTGTCCTGTTGACTGGCAGTGCAGGACATGATGAAGTAACGTTTTGCACTACAATCCAGCAGTGCTTTCAAACGGAATTCAGTCAGACCAAGGGGCAAGGAAATGCTCCTTATCCCAGGCTGTTCTTAGTTTTATAGGTACAGCTCACTTTGACTGTGTAGCTTGTGTGGAGCTTGTACTGGAGTAGCAGCACAACAGGTAGCTGGTTATGGCTAGCAGAGATTAACAAGTCAGAGGAATAATCTTTAGTGTTTTTTTACTATGTATTGGTTTTAAGGGACAGGGATACTAAAAGTTCTTAGAAAATAACTGTGAAGATATCAGAAAGAATTTTCAGAAGGAAGTGTACTGGGAGTATCCCTCCTGAAACAGGCTGCAACAGCTATTAAAAAAAAACCCAAACTTTTGTTTATAGGAACATTCAGTTATTACAAATGTAAAAAGAAATAGATACAAGAAAACAGAATTTTTTTTTCCCAAGATATTAAAAAATACAAGAGCAATGTCATGGAGAACAAATGTGCTGACAGAAGAATTTCTCTCTAATTTATACCAGACAGGCTAATAGACCAGGTAGTGAACAGGGAAAGGAGCTGCACTGAGTAATGTGAACTGTATCCAGCACTGCCCAAACTAGAAATGTGCGTCTATTTTCTTTAGCACTAAAAAACCAGAATGAGCTTTTTATGAGGACATTATACACACAGTTCTAGAATACAACTTCTCTTCCGTTTTAATAGAATTCCTTCTGTTGCTAATCAGCAAGCATTATACAAACTAATTTATGTCCAACTCTAGAGCACAAGAAACAATAGAGTGTTTGGGGGTGTGTGCATGGCGGGTAGATTTTTACTGACAATCCTGAAAAACAACCCACCCTATATGAAACACAGACGGGCAAGTTAAAACTTGGAGGAAAACAAATTTATAGAATAGCAGAATAAGTAAGATCCCAGCATTTAGTACTACATTCAGTGCTGTACAAACAATTGTGTGTTTTTATAGCCATATTGTATGCACTGACACTTAACATGGGACAAAAATTAGAAGTCTTAGCTTTGTCTTTTGGCACAAGAGGAATTGTTTATTACTAGGCAGACTCTGAAGAATGACACAGGGCACTTTTCAAAGCCAACAGTTAGGAAAACTCTTTTTACATGGTATTTTCACATGTCAGCATCTACATTTTGCAGCCAAAACCCACATAGGTATGAAAAGCATACTGGTCACAGAACTATTTAAGTCAAAGGGGGCCTTTCAAAGATTATCAGAGTCTGGCCCTCTGCCACGAGCAGGGCCATTTCACCAGATAAGGTTGCTTAAAGTCCCCTCCAACCTAACCTTGAACACTTGCAGGAATGGGGCATTCACAGCTTCTCTGGACAACCTGTTTCTGTATCTCACCACCCTCACTGTAAAAAAAAAAAATTACTTACAATCTAACCTAAATCTCCCTATTTCAGCTTAAAAACATTGCCCCTTGTCCTGTCAGTAAAGACCCTGGTAAAAACTCTTTCTTATAAGCCCCCCTCAAGTATTGAAAGGCCACAACGAAGTCTCCCCAGTCTTCTCCATGCTGGACGACCCTGACTCCACGGGTTTTTTTTGTAGGTGTTCTAGCCCCCTGATCCTTTTTGTGGCCCACCTCTGGACCCGCTCCAGCAGGTCCGTGTTTTTCGTGTGCTGAGGACTCCAGAGCTGGGCACAGTACTCCAGGTGGAGTCTCACCAGAGTGGAGGGGCAGAACCCCCACCTGCTGTCCACGCTTGTTTTGGCACCGCCCAGGATACCGCTGTTTTTCTGGGCTGTGAGTGCATATGGCCAGCTCATGCCAGCTTTTCATCCAGCAATAACCCCAAGTCCTTCTCCACAGGGCTGCTCCCAAGCCTTCATCCCCCAGCCTGTAGTGCTAACAGGGGCCACCACAACCCAGCTTGTGGTGCAGGACATTGCACTTCACCTTGCGGAACCTCAGGAATTCTATACAAGGAAAGGAACTAATGACTGTTGACTTTTTTTTTACAACAGGATCTGGATTCAGCAACAGTGAGATGCTTTTGCATGAGTTGTCTTATTTTCAGTTTTGACTTGGTGAACCTTTGACCTTTTGCATACTAATGTATTTGGATCCTGGTAGTCATCAAATGAAGTCTTCTTAACTGAGAAATTCTATGAAAATAAGAATTCAAACATAGAAATTCAAGAGCAAATTTTATTGAATAATGAAAAACTAATGACATTAACTTTCAGCTCTGCTGGAATACTAATTTTCTAATTCCTGTGCAGCAGAAAGTGCAACAAATCAAATATTCAGACTGTTAAACTATTAATTGATAATTTCTCTTCAAAAACTGCATAGTCGAGCAGCTGTGCAACAAATATATACATTTCTGCAAAACCCTGAAGAAATACATGAATTTTTTTTTTGCCTTGAATCTGGTGGCAGAGGAGATCACCTGCATTGGTCAGATTCTGACTGCCTTTTCCCTTTTTTCCCACTCTGTAAGAAAGAATTAAAACAAATGTTTAGCTAATACACTAGTCATGACACTTTATATCTGCAGTTATTTTGCATATTAAAGTAGTATAAAAGAAGGAAAAAACCTCAGTAGTTAGGTCACATACTTTTGTTAAATTATACACCTGCTACAGGACACAGACTCACCAGAACTTGAAACAGTGAAGTTAAATAAGTCAAAGCACTTATTGGATATGCAACTGAGATGTTAACATCTAGGAATAAAATCCAGACTGGTTTATTGGTTTTTGTCATTGTTTTTTTCATTTGTTTCTTTGTTTTTCATCCACAAATTTTTATTACTTTTAAAGGCATCCCTATGTTTCAAAGCAGCATTTCATAAAAAAAAAAGTGGGCCCCATGTCAAAGACAATGCCACAAAAAGCAGTAATACGAGAAGGGTTGTGCTGGGCAGCCCCTGCAAGATTACCGGAGAGAACAAAAGCAGAAACGACTGTCCCCTGCACGGCAGATGGGACAGTTTTCCTAAAACACAACACACGCATGCACGTGCGCACACACACACATACAGAGAAACCCCAAGGTGATGAATTAAGCAAGAAATGCAGCAAGATGTGAAAAGATAAAAACATATTAGGCTAGGAGGGCAGCAGGGGTAAAAGCGTAACAGAATAGATGATTCTGCAGTAATTCCTAAGCACGTAATGAAGACCATTTTTTGTAAAGTTTTTACTGTTAGTCTTTTAATCCTGTTTATGACAATGAACCCCCAAATTAATCTATCTTGTTCAAAAATGTTTACTTACAGAGAAAAATATTTAACATTAGCAAAGGTGTGGATGGGAGGGGAAAACAAACAACGTCTGAAGTTTTAAGTCAGAACAGTGATGTGAATAACCCAATCTCACAGGAGGTTTATTTTAGTTCAAGTTAGAAGTATGAGTGCTCCGCTTGTCTTTAAGGGACTGAATGAGCACATTTATTTGCCAGCTACTGCAAGGCGATTTTAAAAAGGAACTTGCTCTCTTGCAGTAGTGTCGAAGGGAAAAGAAATTATGTACAGAACTCCATGTAATGCCAGCTGAAGAATTTGATGTAATCAGACAAGATTTGTTGCTTCAGAAAGTAATTATGGCTTAATGAGCCGGTTCTCCCAAAATTACATTATTCCAGCACAAACTACGTGTCCTAACTTGAAACAGAACAGCTTGCCACAGACTACGCAGCTACCTTAGAATGTTCCATTATATACTACAGGCTTTCCTTGTAACCTATGCAAAAAGTCACAGTCAAAACAAACAAAAATCTACCAAACCAATGAAAAAACACCTGAAAATGTGTCAAAGTCACACACAACTGCAAATCCTTATTTGCAAATACCTTCACTCCATAAAAAGCCAGAAGGTGAAGCAGCATCCTACTTAAGTTAGTGAATTTCAGTTAACTTTTGCGTAAGTAACATTAGCAGCAAAGACACTGATCCTATCACCTGTATTTCAACACCACCTGCTGTGCATCTCCTGTAAATATTAGGCTAGAGACAGAATGAAGACAAAGAACCAAAGGAACTATGTGGCAAAAAAGCCCTGAAGTATACAGTTACTCCAGTCACACTCGGGTAGACAATGCATTGAAACCAGCTTGTTGCTTGAAGCATGTTTATTGACTTGTGTCCTTCAATAAATTTTTAAGTGCAAAACAGGTGGTAGACTTCAACTTGGCAAAACTGTGCTTTAGTTGTATTA